CTACTTTGCAGGCACTGGAAATCAGCAGTGTATGAAGAATCTATGTTGTGTTGTGTATATACAACCAGTGTTTGGCACAATGAGTAAGTTGCCGCTTGAGATACCTACATTCCGTATTGGAGTGGCTGGTTCTAGGCTTGGTTGCTCCTCATCTGATCCAGCTTCCTGCTAATGTGCACTCTGGGAGGCAGAGGTCATGGCTCAAGGCCTTGTTGTGTCCCTGCCACCCTTGTAAGAGACCCAAATTGAGCTCCAGGTTCTTGGCATCATCTGGACCAAGTACCTGCTGTTATAAGCATTTGGAAAGTGAACTGGCAAATGAGAGATATTTTTCTGTGTTGCTCTGCATTTCAGATGAAATGAAAACAGATGCTTTTTAAAGAGTCACTATATGGACTACTATATTCTATGGAAAGAAAATAGACAACAATAGGGAAAACATCTGAATGCACATCATATATATTAATGATAAATGATAAGAAAATTAGAGCAAGAATAAAAGGGGGGTTGTCATTTAGGATGGTTGCAAAAGGCCCCTCCAGGAAAGCAGTCATGGAATAAAGTCCAGAGACTGGTGGAGGAACCCCTGGTATGGATGGCTAAGACCACCCTGTACTGAGGAATTGTGCACAAAGGCCCTGAAGTTGGTTCAAGGAAACTGTAGGTGGAAAGCATGGCTGGAGATGGTGGAGAGGCAAGATGGGAGGTCTGAGAAACAAAGAGGATCTGGCCTATGCAGCCCTGATGGTCTTTGTAAGGGCTCTGATGCTTTTTCTGCTTGAGATGGGGAGTGTCAAGTCTTCAGAAGATCACTTCCTGTGGAGAACAGAGAATGCAAATGGAGGCTGGAAGAGCAGCTAGGAGCGCTGGAACAGTGCAAGTGAGAGGGATGGACTAAGGGTGATTGAGTTTGGGAGTCTGTGAAGGATAGGGTTTGCCCTATAGGAGATAAGGAAGGAGTGATGAAAAACAAGTGATGTAGTATTTCTATGCTAAAAAGATGATTTTGATAGGCTCCTGGAAAAAGGATTGGAGAGTTGAGACAAGGAGCAGGATCTGTTTTCTGGACTTAAAGACTGACAAGGTCCAGAGCTGCCACCTTATGCCCTGGAGGTCTTGCTGCCGGCAGTCTTGGGAACCCTTGCCAACTTCTTGGGGAGGGACAGAAATGCGAAGATGAGGAGACTTCCTTGCAAACCTTGTCCAAGGAAGCAGGGTGAAGGATGCCAGTCAAGTTTGTGCTAGCGACAACCTTCCTTCCAGGAACCGCAGACCCTTACTAAGTGACAGGCACAGTTGTGAGTGCTGTAAGTGCAGTATCTGTGTTCATCATCACTGCGGCCCTCAGTGGGTCTGCATCTCAGATGGCAAGACTGGGGCACAAGGAGATTAAATGCTGGACTGTGTTGCCTCTGGAGGGTCTCGCCTGTAATGCTTTCTTTTGTCACATTGGGATACTTGGAATTGCCTGGTCCCCTCTAAAAGTGAATGTAGGAGCAGGTGTTTGACCTGTAGGTTAAGACAGGCCCTGTCCTATACTGAGATACCTAGTTTTGAACCTGGGTCTGGCTCTAGATCCTGACTCCAGCTTCCTGCAAATGTAGACCCAAGGAAGCAGCAGGTTATAGCTCAAGTAACTGTCCTTGCCATCCACATCACATAGGAGACCTGGATTGGGTTTTTGGCTTCCAACTTTGGCCTGGCTACTACAGGCATTTGGGGGCGAATTAGCAGAAGGGAGTGTTCTCTCTCTCTCTCTTTCTGCTTTTCTTCCTTTCTTTCTGTTTCCCTTCCTCTCTCTCTTAAAGATATACTTATATTGGAAAGTCAGATTTTCACAAAGGAGAGACAGAGAGGAAGATCTTCTGCCCACTGGTTCACTCCACAAGTGACTGCAGGGCTAGAGCTGAGCCAATCCGAAGCCAGGAGCCAGGAGCTTCTTCTGGGTCTCCCATGTGGGTTCAGGGTTCCGAGACTTTGGATCATCCTCGACTGCTTTCCCAGGCTACAAGTAGGGAGCTGGAAGGGAAGAGTGGAGCAGCTGGGACATAAACTGGCATCCATATGGGATCCTCCCACATGCAAGGTGAGGATTAAGCCACTAGGCTCTCATGCCAGGCCCTAAAATAATTTTTTAAAGAAAGAAAGATGTATTTATTTGAAAGAGTGATAGACATGGAGAGAGATCTTGTATTTGCCGGTTCACTTCCAAAATGGCAGCCAATAGCTGGGATGAGGCCAAGCTGAAGCCAGGAGCCTGAAGCTTCATGTGGATCTCCCATGTAGATGGGAGGAACTTAAGTATGTCATCATCAGCTGTTCCCCAGACACATTAGCAGGGAGCTGGTTTGGAAGCTGGGATTGTAACCAGTGCTCTGATATGAAATGCAAGCATCCCAAATGGCATCTTAATTTGCTACACAACGCAATGTCCATCGCTAGTGTGTGTTTTGCGTGTGTGTATATATGTGTGCGTGTTTTAAGATTTATTTGAAAGGTAGCGTGTCAGAGGGAGGGGGGGAGCTTTCATCTGCTGGTTCACTCCCAAATGGCCACAATAGCCAGGTCTGCAGGGCTGAGGTCAGGAGACAGAAGCTCCATCCTTTCATCCTGGTTTTCCCGAATGAAAAGGCCGGAGCACTTGGGCTGTTTTTGCTGCTTTCCTAGGTAGGTTATCAGGAAACTAGTTTGGAAACAAGTAGCTAGGACTCAACGGACACTCCTGAATGGGCTACCAGTGTTCCATGCAGTATCTTAGCCTGGAGACACTGACTAGTCCTTTATCCTTTTTGGATACCAGTTTTTACAAACTTTTTAAGGTAGTCTCATGTTATTTCATTGATGTTTGGATTACCAGTGACAAAGATGAGCTTTAAAAATATAAGTACGTGGGTGTGATCATGGGTAAGAGTCTAAGAATGCGAAGTCTCTGTGATAAGGTGTTTGAGTTTGTGCATGCACACGCATCTGAGTGTGTATGGAATGATCTAGAAGGCATTGCTGGATCCAGGTCAGTCAGATGCAATCTGCTTACCTCTCTGGCCCTGTCGCTTGTCCGAGTCTGACATGTGGCTGCCTCCCTAAGAGTAAGTCTGTCTGTACATACAGCACCTTGATGCCGGTGAAAGCAGAGGTGTCTTTACAATTGGCTGTAGTATAACAAAGCTGCAGAGGGAAGTCTGCTCTTCCCACAGTGTTAGCCCTGGCTCCTCACTGGGGCAGAAAGTATGGGGTCAGCCCCACCTAACAGATGGGGAGTTCTGACAGCTGTCAGGGCTGTGCTGCGTGTTTGCTGGGAGTGGGAGGTGTGAGACCGTAGGTGCTGCTTTGGGAGTGAGGGAAACAGCTTGTTCCGGCACTGCTCCCCCACAGTACCGAGCTATGAGTCCGTTCTCTGTAGGGAGTTGGGAGACACACACACACACACACTCACACACACACACACACACACACACACACTCACACACCTCTGGGTTGCTACTACCTGCAGCAGCTATTTGTAAAGAGGGCAACATGGTGCAGACCTCTGTAGCTTTTCTTAGAACTGGAGTTAGTCTGGTCCTGCCCCAAGCTGGACGCCATGGCTCAGAACACACATGATCCTTGGTCACTCTTCCTCTTGCAAGGCTACTTTCTTTCCCTTCTCAAGATAAAATGATGGTGGGTGAAGAAAGCTAGACATCATTTTAAGAAAGTGCTCCTCAACTTTTTTTTAGCCCTAACTCAAATCAAGATACATGGTTCTCTTGCACAGTAATTGGGTACACATATAATTTTGTCTGCTTAAGAAAGTTATAATGAGGGAGGAAAAAAAGAGAAAGTATCATGAAACAGCATTTACCTCTTATGAAGTGTAGGGCATCTTAATACTTTCCATTCCATTTATATAGTTTTGTTGGGAAACTCACACATGTTGTCCACAACCATTACACAGTCACTTCACAGCCCGTTGAAGGGTGCCAGCTCCAGAGTGTGAAAAATACTAGTTTAACCTGTGGAAAGCAAGTGGCGTTGAGATACATGCTGGGGCTGCCTCATTCAAGTTCCACGATGTGGGGGGGCATGAAGGACAGAATTCTGTTGCTTACCAGTTTGGGAGGCTGGAAGTTGAAGACAGAGCTGTTGGCAGTTTGCCACATCCAGGAGCCTGGTAGCTTCAGGCAGTTGTTGAAGTTCCTTGGCTGTGTCTTTGCTTTCACCCTCATGTACATTCTCCTTGGTTGTGTGACTGGATCCCAGTCACTTTGCATTGTAGCTGCTAACCATATCCACTACAAGTCCCATTCCCTAAACCAGGTCCTATTCTCAAGTTCTTGGGCGTGGGTGTCAGTGTCTAAATTTTGAGTAAGGGAAGGCTGACCCATTTGTAACAAATGGAGCATGCAAGTGAAACAAAGTTTCTGTTTTAATTGAGCCCTTGCTACCTGGCCGACTCTGAGTTAAGGGTTTTATTTCTTTCATAGAATGAACCCTTCTTGCCCCATTGTAGAAGTGAGGAAGCTAAGAGAGGGCTTGGGCTGAATCACGTTTTCTTCTGTATACTTTACCAGTCTGGCTGTTCCCGGAGCATGAAAAAGCAGCTGCTGATGCACAGGTCTGAGCACAGGTCATAGGTATTCCTCCACACAGTGCCGATGTTTGCATCTTAAAGCCATCATAGCCTCCAATCTGTCCCCCTGCATGTCATGCTTGTGGGCCAGGAAACACCCCTGAGCCCTTGGCCATGCCCACTGGGCTTGTCCCTGCGTGGCATTTTCAACAATGCCCAGCGACCTACCAGGTTCTCTCCCTCTGTGCTTCCCTATCTTCCTTCTGAATTTAGATCAGAGAGAAGGAAATGAGCCAGAAAATAGAAAATTAATACTCGGTAGAATCGTCATATTTTGAAATTAATTTATAGACCATGTTAGATAGCAGGAATTAAATCATTTTATCAGCAAGCCACTCTGGGATTTAGCAATTGGCATCTATCATTGTAAATCAGGTCCTGCAAGCCCCCAATGGATGGTATGTAGGGATGAGGGTTGATACCTGGTGGGCAGAAATGTAAACACTTGATAAGCCATATCCTTCCTTTCACACCAATAATTCTCCATCACCCCCAAATGACATGCTACGTTCAGCAGCAACTTGAGGGGAAGCTAGCCAGTTGTTTGGTTTGCCTGCTTTAATACTTACCATATTCGCTGTCCATCCCTAGGAACTGGTCAAGTGAGAGGTGCTCATATCCGGGACTATTCCTGGCTCATGGTTCCAGGGATTCGCTTATCCTCCTTCTGCATCAGTTGCCACATCTCTGCTGTTAGCAGGAGCCTCAGCAGGCTGCTGCACCTGGCCTGGGAAGATGTTCTGTGATGAAATTCCCGTCTTTGTTCTCTTGTCATTGCAGCCTTGTGTCGAGGGCGCGTGGTGAGAGTCCCCGCAGGGACCCTGGTCCGGGTGGCAGGCACAGAGCTCGTGATCCCCTGCAACGTCAGTGACTACGACGGCCCCAGCGAACAGAATTTTGACTGGAGCTTCTCACCTTCCGGGAGCAGCTTTGTGGAACTGGCGAGCACCTGGGAGGTGGGCTTCCCAGCGCAGCCATACCAGGAGCGACTGCAGAGGGGTGAGATCCTGCTGAGGCGAACAGCCAACGACGCCGTGGAGCTGCACATACGGAATGTCCAGCCCTCTGACCAAGGCCACTACAAATGCTCAACGCCCAGCACGGATGCCACCGTCCAGGGCAACTATGAAGACACAGTGCAGGTTAAAGGTATGGTCCTCAAGTGGGATTTACCTGCCAATGGCTAGGTCTTCCTCTGCCTACTCCTGTGGCTGGCCTAGCTCCTTTGGGTGTTTAGTCCCTCCATGGACAGTGGGATCCTAGTGACTTGCCTGATGGAAGGCAGGTGACCTCAGAGGGCCAGTTTTGTCGTGAAGCCTCCCATGAAAGGGGAGTGAAGATTGCCTAGGGTAGAGCCCAGCTCTGGCTGCTTGGGCTTGTATGACCAATCACCCACTCTGCCACTTGTCAGCTGCATGGCTGTGGGCCCATCACAGCCTCCATACTACAGTGTCTATCTTCAAGGCTGTGAGGAGGTGGTGGAGGTGAACGTGCAAACACTCTGGAGCAGAAGCGTAGTAAGTGTTCAGAGGTTAGTGATGAGGAAGGGGCGTGGTCAGGAGGCTGTCCAGGTTCATGGGAACAACAGACACTACCAAGTTCAAGTCCATGTGACCTTTCTGATTGAAGTGCTTGTTTCTAGCAGATGTTGTAAGTGTTCTACTGAGAGAAACGAGGATGTAGCCACTGCTTACTGATGGACTCGACCATGCAAATAATCACTTGTTTGGGGTTTTGTTTTGATTTTGCTGTTTTTTCCAAATCTTCTTTAAGATTCCTTCCTGCAGTCGATTTTTAGAGCTTGATAAAGAATGTAGGGCAGGATATTCCATGACATACACAGAAGGAAATGAAAGACCATAGGGTAGTTACTTGCCTAAAATCGCACAGCCAATTAGTAAGTGGGCAAGAACAAAGAAATTTAATTTGAGGCTGACAAAATAGAAGATTATTATTATTACTCAATTATGCAATTATTTGTGCCCGGCCTTATTCCCCCTGAAATCTCTTTCTGTGTAGCGATGTCAGTAATTATTAGGAAAGCAGAAATCACACATGATGATATGAATTCATGTCTGCTAAGTAGGCATTCAAACAGTCAAACTTTAAAGCCGTGGTAATAACCCCAGCCCTTGGTAGTGGCCCCCCCTAGTGACCGATGTGTCCATGCCCTCCTAAGTTTCCTTTCCCTGGGAGCTGTAGAAGTAGAAACGGTAGCCAGGAGGCTGCTGCTCTTCCTGCCTGGCCCCTATCCTGTAGGCTCCAGCCGCAGGCAGCTCATGCCATGCTTTCCTATTTTAACTGGTGGAGGTTCACTTTACCTCCAACCCCTCAGGCTCCCTCTTGCAGCCCTGTGTCCTCACCCAAGGAGTGTCTGGCTGCCATACTTGTAATTTTATCATGACTGATAGGTACCGGGCACTGTCCAGCAAAAGTGCTCTCCTTAACTCCCTGCACTCTTCGTGTTGGCTCCCTGGCGCCTTTGTAGTTGTCATCTCCCTTTTAGGAAATGGAAGCACATAGAGTAGCTTTTCTTAGGTGGTAGAAGTACATACCCAACATACAGTTCCCAAAAGAAGTCTTCACCACTCAGTGCTGGCAGAGGTGTTTTATTGCATCTAACTCTTTTTGTCCTGCTTCAAGTCAGTTGAGATTATAGAGGAGTGAAAATGGTGAAACATGCCCACACATGGGCATTTGAGTGAAGGGGGCAGGGAGACTGTTCCAGGTTTACAGTCCCCACCATGACTCAGGGCTGGGGTCAGGCAGGTGTAGCCCTTGCTGCAGAGGTGCCGTGCCCGGCTGGCTCACACTGTTCTCTTCCCGCAGTGCTACCAGATGCCCTACACTTGGGTCCCAGCGCGAGGCCCGCACCCAGCCTGAGCCTGCGGGAAGGGGAGCCCTTTGAACTGCGCTGCACAGCCTCTACCACGTCGCCATTACACACGCACCTGGCAGTGTTGTGGGAGCTGCACCGGGGGCCCGCCCAGCGCAGTGTGCTGGCCCTAACACACGAGGGTAGGTTCCGCCCGGGTCCCGGCTATGAGCAGCGCTACCACAGCGGGGATGTGCGCCTAGATACTGCGGGCAGCGACACCTACCGCCTCTCCGTGTCTCGCGCCCTGTCTGCTGACCAGGGATCCTACAAGTGTGTCGTCAGCGAATGGATCACAGAGCAAGGCAACTGGCAAGAAATCCAAGAAAAGGCTGTGGAGGTCGCCACCGTGGTGATGCAGCCCACAGGTGAGCATCTGGGAGGGGTGCGTGCTGGATGGGATCTCACTTTGTGATGGTGGTAGGTGGCATGAGGAACCAAGAACCAGGAGCCCCATCTTTTTCTGGTTTTATAATCACTTCGACTTCTGGTTGATGGTGCAGGGAGTAAGGTGGTAGTGATAATTTGGAGAGGAGTGTGTTTGTTTTTGTGCTGTGTGCACAATTTTGCTTTGCAACTGCTTTTGTCTGAATTTGTGCCCACGGAGAACTACAGCACACATTTGAGAGTATGCCAAAAGTTAAAAGTTTTAAAATCTGAGTATACTTTTATCATAATGTGTATTTTCCATGAACTTTTGGAAATTCCATGAATGAATAGATTTGAAATGTTTTATACCATCAAAACAAACTTGCCTTCAGAAAAAAAAAAGTTACCAATTTGTATTTATTGGAAAGACAGAGAGAGAGAGAGAGAGAGAGAGAGAGGCAGGCAGAGATCTTCCATCTGCTGATGCACTCCCCAAATGCCCACAACAGCTGGAATACAACCAGGCCAAAGCCAATAGCCCAGAACTCTATCCAGATCTCCTGTGGAGAGAATAGGACCCCAAGTACTTGAACCATCACCTGCTGCCTCCCAGACTGCACACTAGCAGGACGCCGGATAGGAAGCAGAGAAGCCAGGACCCAAACACAGGCACTTGGATGGGGGCAGGGGCACCCCAGGCATCATCATAACTAATGCATCAAATACCTACTCTTTTCATTCCATTTTCCACAGACATTTTGAAGTGCCCTGGTAATGCTGGGACAGTTCTTTCATTCAGAGGCCATGCCCCCAGCCCTTTCATCAGCGTTAGGTCCCACCTGCATTTGGATCACATCTGCTCACGCACTGCCCCTTGAGCTCATCTTAGTCCTTCCACCTGCCTTTTCCTCAGCCGTTGGTGATGGGTGCTCCTTGTGGGGCTTCCTGTCTATGATCCTCCAGGCTTGCTTCCAGGCCACCTCGGGTACCCCACGTCTGTGGGGTGAGGTGCTATCGGGTTGAATTTCTTCATACTTTCCTATGTCATGCATACCTCAAGAGCATCCGTGCTTGAGGTCGCTACAAAAATTCATTTGTCTTGTTGTCTGTAATTCGATTTTTGTTTTTAAAAACTTTTTCCCATTCTAGCTACAGAAGTAATCAATAAAATACAAAATGCATTTTAGAAAATACACTTAGACAAATAGTAAGGGGAAACCATTGCTGATTGGCTGTGCAATGGGCACTGGTGGCTCTGTTTTGGGCTGGGCCCTGGGATCTGAGGAGCTGGAGTGTGGCTGTCAAGCCCCGTGGAACTTGCTGCTTCTGCAGGGTTGAAGTGTGTGAAAAGACCACTGTGGGCAATGCTGTTGCTGGGGATAGGTGGATGGGCTAACTTTATTCCTGGGAGTCAGACCAACCTCTTCAGCTCTAGCAGTACTTTGCTGTCATTGCTGCTGCCCCCATCTGTTTTGAAACTGGGAAGACCTTGTTGGGACTCATTTCCTGAGGGCAATGCAAGGGTATGGCTGCTCTGCTGCCCCGATGGCAAGTGCTTTGCCTCTGCAGGCTACTGCACTAACCTGAGCACATTTTCTCTGTGTGCACACTACTAGGTGCGTGGGAGCTGGGGCTGGTAAGAGTGGGTGCTAAAAAGCAGCTCCTGTGATTGGTCATCACAGAGGGTGGCTCCCTAGCTGCAGAAATGGCTTTTGCAGATTGCCTCAAACCACCTTAGCATGTGAGCTGTCTGCAAGCTGCCTGAGAAATCTTCAGATTTTCAGTTTGCAATAAACACTTTTTTTAAAAGATTTATTTATTTTTATTACAAAGTCAGATATATAGAGAGGAGGAGACACAGAGAGGAAGATCTTCCATCTGATGATTCACTCCCCAAATGACCGCAACGGCCAATGCTGTGCTGATCCAGAGCCAGGATCCAGGAACTTCCTCCAGGTCTCCCATGTGGGTGCAGGGTCCCAAGGCTTTGGGCCGTCCTCAACTGCTTTCCCAGGTCACAGGCAGGGAGCTGAATAGGAAGTGGAGCCGCCGGGTCCAGAACTGGTGCCCATATGGGATCCCAGCACATTCAAGGCAAGTACTTTAGCTGCTAGGCCACGATGCCGGGCCCGCAGTAAACACTTTTTTTCAAGAAAAAAAAAGATCTATTTTATTTTTATTGGAAAGTCAGATTTTACAGAGAAAAGGATCTTCCATCTACTGATTCACTCCCCCAAGTAGCTGCAATGACTGAAGCTGAGCTGGTCCTAAGCCAGGAGCTGGGAGCTTCTTCTGGATCTCCCACATGGGTGCAGGGTCCCAAAACTTTGGACTGTCCACTACTGCTTTCCCAAGCCACAAGCATGGAGCTAGAGGGGAAGCAGAGCAGCCAGCAAAGCTACCAGCATCCATATGAGATTCCTATACATAAAAGGCGAGGACTTGAGCCACTAGTCTATGACTTTGGGCCCACAATAAACACTTTCAATGAGACAGACAGATTCTGGATTTGAACTATGCAGCACATACTCTTTCTATGCAGGACTTTGTTGGAAAGGTATTTCTTATTTTGGAATGTACCTCAAAGCCCATAATATCTGGTTATAAGACTACAGTACTCTGAAACTATTAGACTGGGAGCTTGTAATTTTTTTGTGCCATGAATTTCTTTGATGGTCTTCTGACATCGACAGACCCTTTTTCAGAAAAAAAAAATGTTTTAATTTGTAAAATATAGTATTCCAGCTGACAAAGGAAAGCAATTATATTGAATAAGTTATCAAAATATTTTAAGACAAATTTGCTTTCCAGTCATTTTATGCCGCTTTATAAATGCATTAATAATAAGATTCAGTGGCAGACCTAACAACCAGAGTGATTTCTAAGTAGCAGTGAAATGTGACTGGTTTTTCAGAGTATCTGCAATGGCTATAATGTGACAAGAAAATATCTGTGATTTCTATGGGGGAACAAAATCCCAGAGACAGGGAATGCCACACTGGTTTGTTCATGCTTTCACACTGAGAACAGAGGCTGTATTTCAGGTAAAGGCAACAGAAGGAAAGATGAGATTTTGTATGTTTCCACTCTGGTTCACACACTCCCTCCGTTCTCTTTGTGGACCCCAGGGTATGGTGTTTCTCTTCCTATCAGCCTTGACACGGTCTATACCCGGCTGTTCCTATGTTCTCCTCACATTGTTAAGATCAAGGCACAGAGCCCCCAGGACAACAAAGCCATGTTGCCAGTGTGGGGGCATCACCACCCTCCGTCACTGGCATGGTCTGAATGGTGGCATCTTGCTACCTAATTTGCGAATTCCGTTACACTGGGGGAGAGAGTCTGCATTCCTGCAGCCTTTACCTCAGTCCCCTGTTGCTATACAGACCCCTTAAGCTTGTTTCATTTTGTCCTTTCAGCTCTAGCAGTAAACCCTTGAATCCAATATGTACAGGACCTATGGTTAGGAATGCAACAGGTGTTTAGCCACTTATACAAAGAAAATTGCGAGGTGGACTATGCAGTTGAAGAGACACTCCTGCCAATACTTCTAGAACCTAAAAACGATGGTTTGCAAGCTCACAATCCACACTGCCTGCTGTGTACTTCCTGCTTCCTCACTGACCACATTCCCTCCTGAGACCTACTGATTCCAAGAGTTGTCAGCCCAGTTGCTGACTCCAGCAGGATTCCAGGGCTTCTAACTGGTGTAGGCAGGAAGGTAGCTGGCAAGGAGCTGAAGTGGACAGCACACCCCTACAACCCTGCCAGCACTGCCCAAACCCACCTCATTCCTAGCAGTGGGAAATCCCAAATTTTGTGATTTTACTGGGTAAAAATATCCATTATGACTGCCAGCTGCTGCCCTGTGTTGGCGTTTAGTTCATTTTAAAGTTGTTGCAATGACCCTGATTGATACTCCCACTCCTATGATGCACCTGATGCGGAGACACTTCTGAGATTTCCCCCCCCGACCTCCCCACCCCAAAAAGTGCAAAGTAATGGGCAGTACTCAAGCTCTACCCCAAACTCTGCTCTTTTAAATATTCAATCAAGCCCTATCTGAGACACCACCCCCTGTGCCTCCAGATCATATCAAGGAATGGTCTGAAGTTATGTTACATGTAGTTCTCTCTTGACCAGTACACTCCTTCCTGTGTACTTTCTCTTTGTGCATGAATAAGCCTTGCTTATCTGTTAGCCTTTACTTGTAGCTCAGCTTGAATTCCTTCTTACCTCAAAGACAAGAACCAGGAGTCACCTACCCCACCATATGACCGCAGGCATTGTGTATCGAGTGATTCAAACTATAAAACCCAGCTGAGGGCAGCAGCTTCCATTCTGAATACCTTCCAAAGCTAACCTCAGTTTACTTTTGGCCCTTTAAAAATGGTGAATGAAGAGGAAGTGCTTGGAGGGTGGGTAAAAAGAGAGATTGGACTTTTAAATTCGATTCTCTAATACTTGGTAGGCCTTATTTCCTGTATCTCTCAAGGTCATGCTTGAACTTGAAAAATTTGCTTGAAATGTTGTCAAGATTTGGAAATATTCACATGAAAGGAGTTGGGTCTGTTCAGAGTTGGGCCCAGCCCCTATCCCTGGGTTTGGGCATTGCTTGATGCTGAGCCACTTGCTAAGAGGCTGGGGCTGTGCCTCCACATGAATCCTTTGGGAGGTGTTGGCTGTTCGTCATCTAAGTAATTGTTCCTGCGCCATTATCACGGGCTGAATGTTTTTCTTCTCTGATTACAGATGTTCAACTTCGTTTTCAAAACCCTCTGAATAGAGGAAAATGTTTCCATGTAAAAAGCTTCAACAGGGGAATGCTGAAACTAGATCTGCCTTGAGTCTCTGGCACCAAATACTTGACTGCTTCAGCTAAATATAGCTGGCTTTTAATTATCCCCACTAATGACAGGGAGCAGTAGCATGGATAATCAAAAAAAACCATTGTGTTTTGGTTTTAGAATGTATGTTTTATACTTGACTCTTAGGTGATATGCCTATTGAAATAAGCGATATTCCAAATACATTACATTTTGAAGACTCGATTCCTAAGGAAAAGCGGTTCTTCTCTTAGGAAGTTTTTCCCTTTGGTGCACAATGTGCTCTACTTTTATCTCCTTCGCTCTCTTCCCCAGCTTGCAGCTGATGCTGTGTGTGGGTACCAGTCAGAACTCAGCAGTCAGGGCAGGTATTGGGTACAGCGGTGAAACTGCTGCTTGGCATGCTCCCTTTCCATACCGGGAAACCTGGTTTTGGCTCTCCCTCTCATTCCAGCCCTTTGCTCATGTGCACCTGGAGAGCAGCAGATGTAAGTAGTTGGGTCTCTGCCACCCACGTGGAAAACTCAGATGGAGTGACAGGATCTCAGCCCTGGTGTGACTCAGCTGCAGCTGTTGCAGGCATTTGGGGAGTGAGCCAGTGGATGGAAGGTCTCTCTGTGTTTCTGTGTCTGTCTCTCAAAATGCAGATAAACAACCAAAAACATTTTTTAAAGAGCTAACTTGCCCTTTTTCTGCAAAATCAACCACTTTGGTATAAATAGTAAAGGTTAATTTTAGTTCTTTAGTATTCAACATACTTCTTATTGATGCTAGAAAAAGGGCCGCTGTTGTGACACAGTGAGCTAAGCTTGTAATATCAACATCTACGTTCCATATCACAGTGCTGGCTCAAGTCTTTGTTGTTCTACTTCCAGTGCACCTCTTTGCCAATACACCTGGAAAAGCAGCAGGTGATGGTCCAAGTACTTGGGTCTGTGCTACCCATGTCAGAGATCCAGATGGAGTTCTGGATTCAGCCTGGCCCAGACCTGACTGTTAACAGCTGTTTGGGGAGTGAACTAGCAAGTGGAAGAGCTCTCTGTTTCTTTGTCTATGTCTGTCACTGTTTTTCAAATAAATAAATAAATCAAGTGTGAGGGGAGGGCGGTTAAGAGCAGATTTGCTAGAGGCAGGCAGTCTAGATTTGAATTCCAGCTCTGCTACATATTCGCTAAGTGGTCTTCAAGAAGTTACTTTAGTTTCCTGTAAGATAATAATAATTCCTACGTCCAAGAATTATTTTGAGGATAGATTAGTATAAAGCATTCAGAATACTGTTTGGCATATAATAAGTATATGCAAGTGTTTGCTGCTGCTGGCATTCTTATGGAATAAACAGAAATATATGCGTTATGAATTCTTTCATTATAAATGTTTAGCAAACACAACTGTCCAGTGCCTTCTAATTTTGATGCCATAAACCATAACCAGGAAGATGAACTGGGAGAAGGTTGGGCAAGGAAGACATAGCCCTGCCAATTACTGAGATATATTTGTTTTTCATTTCCAAGTTCTCCGGGTGTCCGTGGCCAGGAATGTGTCTGTGGCTGAAGGGAAGGACCTGGAGCTGACCTGCAACATTACCACAGACCGGGCGGATGACATGCGGCCCGAGGTTACATGGTACTACAGCAGGACACCTGACAGCACCTTGCCTGGCCCCCGCGTGCTGGCCCGGCTGGACCGAGATTCCCTGCTGCACAGCTCACCTCATGTGGCTCTAAGTCACGTGGATGCCCGCTCCTTCCTTCTGCTGGTTCGAGATGTTAGCAAAGAAAACTCTGGCTACTATTTCTGCCATGTGGCGCTCTGGGTACCGGGACACAACAGGAGCTGGCACAAAGTGGCAGAGGTCATGTCTTCTGCAGCCGGTGTGGGTGTGACCTGGATAGGTAAGTATCTGCAGAGTTGTCACTGGCCTCACAAGCTGAGTCTGTCCTCTGAGCTATCCAGAGGTGTCTGAGCAATCAGCATTGTGCACAATTTTGTCATTCTTTGTATCAGAATGGGCATTCTTTAGCTCAAATAGATCCCAGATCAAACTGGCTTGAAACAGAGTCTGGCAGGCATGGGAGATGTTCAGATAATCTGACCGCAACACCCTCATCTGGGAGGATGGAGCATCCTTTTGTTGTTGAGATTTGTGAGGGCAGAGCACTGGGGAATGGTGCTTTGAAACGGATCGCTGTTGGAGGAAGAACCTGATGTGCTTCATTCCTTTTCCTGGACTCCTGGCTGCTGTGCGGACAGCACTGGTGCTTTTCCAAAGCTGGTACAGAAAGAGGATTCCTTCTGTAATTGGCATTTTTCCACTGAATACCCTGGAATGCCTGGATAATTGTATCTGCAGATCCCTATTGTAGGGAGGGGTCTCCCTGCTTTTCCAGGCTCCTGTCGGGTGCCCCAAGCCCAGGCACGGTCCCCAGGGAAAGGAGCGCAGGGGCACACAGGATCAGCCACCCCGCAGTGGGTCATGCCTCTGAGGATCACTGGCTTCTCTGTTCTCTGCCATGCCCATATTTCCGTCTCTTTGTGTCCCACTTGTTTGCCCACTGGGCAAGCTAGTCTAACATTTCCTAATTGTTTTCATTGTTGTTGCAAGTAGATTTAGAAAGGCTAGGCTCAAGCAGGCTGTGGAGAGCTTCACTTTGCACCATCATTGTTGCAGAGACAGGACAGACCTGTCAGGTTCTGCTGTCTGGGCCTTCTTGTGTCTCCACTGTCCTGCAAGCGCTTTGTGCCCTGAAGGCGGCATTTGGCATGACTTCTGGGGGGCAAAGCAGATCTCTGAAGGTCTGGGAGAGCTCCCCTGCCTTGCCTGATGCCACATGCCCTTCCACTGTGAGCTCTTGCTAGTCTGAAACCCTGCCTCACCTCTGCAGCGGGGTCTATCTGTACTTGGGGTGGGAGCATATGTATTAATGAGCCTTGGGTTAGCAAGGATGGAGAGTTTGCATGTGGGAGTAGAGGGGACGGGGAGCAGGAGAGCAGGAAGAAGGCAGGCGGGTTAAGCCACCTATCCATTGGGACACTTGCATTCCATATCAGGGTCCCTTGGTTGAAATCCCAGCTTCCTGCTAGTACACACTCTGGGAGGCAGCAGGTGGTGGTGCAAACACCACATGGGAGTCCTGGAAACCTGGCGTTGGCCTGGACCAGCCACAGCTGTTGCAGGCATTTAGGGAGTGAACCAATGTGCAAAAGCTCTGTCAGTCTCTGTCTGGTAAATAAATAAAAGCAGATTAAAAAAAAAATAAGCAAGCAGAAGGGCCCACTTTTTACAGTCGAGCCCAGGCAGGGCATTTGTGAGCCCTGTTAGCAAAGTGAGCCTTTGATAGGCAGACAGGGAAGGAGCAGGATTTATCTGGTGCGTTTTCATTCCTGCCGTCTGAACCCCGCAAGAAAGACTCACCATGAAGTACTGAACTGGAACAATGCTGGCCCAGCTAGAACTCTCCTTAGCAACCTTCAAAATAAAACAGATGTTGTCAGCACCGAAAAAGGATTTTTCATCTCTGGAGCTGAAGCTGTCTCACAGCTCTGATCTCCAGTGCATTGTGTGGCGCTGTCAAAGCCGGCCGCTGGCTCTTACCCCTCCCCCTCCCAACTCTGAATCCCAGCTCCAGGATTTTTTTTTTTTTGAAAGTGCTGCCTGCACTCCAATTTGAGGGCTTCTTTGAAGTACTTGTGCATTGATCCGGGCATACCCCGGGGGAGATGCAGGGACTGTCAGATTACAAGGGGGAGCTCTGGGAGCAAGGGGGCTCTTGTAACTGGAAGGGATTTGTTGGGGGCTGTGTTCCCCAGAGAGCAGCAAGAAGAGACTAGATAGTGGCAAGAGCTTCATCCCCATTTTGAGGATCCTGCTGCTCATTGCCCCCAAGGCATTGTGGTATAAGTCAACTGCTTACTTTGCCCTGACCCAGTACAGAGCCCTGGATCCCCAGTGCTTTGCACAGCATAGACACTCAAGAATAGTAACTGAACGGGCAAATCAGCCTGGAGTATGTTGTAAGATAGGTGTGTAGGCAAACCAGAATTGTGAAGAAGGCAAAACTGTTCAACTCTTATGCTGTTCAGTTAAGATAGGTCCATAAGTAAATCCACCAGGAGTAGGTATGCCATAGGAAAACCTGCTTTCTTCTCCTTAATTCCTCTTAAATCTACTTGCTTGTGCCTCACACCCTTACGGCTGTTTAAACACTTTTCAGCAGGCCACTGGGGCCTGAGCACCATAGCAGACCTTGCTGCAGACCTCCCAGAAACCAATGGATCTGGCCTGACCCTGGATTATGGTCTCTAGGTCTCTAAATGTGTAAGATATATGGATGTCCCCGTGATCCAGAGTGATGACCTGTCAGGAACTCTCCTGCATAAGTCATATGCCATCGTAGTTTGTGCAACATGGAATATTGTCATGGAAGAACTCTGGAGAAAGCAGGTGGGATGAACCCACTTGATTTTGCTACTTGACAGTTTATTTCCTGGGCACTTACTTTGTGCCAGGTGCTAGGTTTAGGATTCTGGATGCAATGAACGGTTAATTTCCATAATAACCCTGTGAACCAGGAACCATCTAGCCCCAGTGCTTTTAATTTTGCTTATGATGTTGAAATCAGGCATTAGGAAAGGACTCAGAGGAGTTTTTTCTCTGAGATAGATGGTGACAGCTGGCACAGCCAGGACTGCAGATCCCCGTATGCTTTCTCAGGCACTTGGAGCCATGCTTCCCACATGCCACTCGTCCTCCAGGCCTTCTCTTTGTGGCTTGGGCTTCTCCCAGCATCATTTTCTTCAGGTGGACCCACTCCCAAAAGGCAAGAAGTGGGAGTTGCCACTGTGCATAGCACCAGCACACGATCCCTTCTCTTCTCTATCCATCCAGAGATCACTCAAGGTCAAAAGAGGGAGAGAAAGAGATGCCTTCCTTGGGATGGGGAGCCAAGGACCCTCCCAGCAAGCACACATCACATAAGGGACATGGACTGGTAGATTCTTTTATTTCCAGAGGAGATGTTTGGGACAGCTTGGAGAGAATTATACCTCCAGGTTAGGTCTGTCCCAATGTTGTCATCTTAGAAGTGTTTTTGGCTTTGGGGAATTAGCTTCACTTTTGAGATTCCACAGCAGAGTAGCAGAAGCCAGGCACTTCTTGTCCTGGTTTGCTTGGGTTGGTATCTGGGGGAAGGTGAGTGGGTTGAAGCTGATTGTGGTCTAACTGCGAAAACACCATGGCCTCAGAGTGAAAGGGGTTGATCAAATCAAGAGTGCTCACAGCAGTCAGGAGGATCATGATGAAGGTTGAGAAGGTGAGGAAAAGCCCCTTCTACATAGGATTTATGTCCCACTTTGAAGGACAGAGAAACAAAGAAAGAGATTTAAGTTGGCTTGCAAAATGAAGCACAATTTAAAGCAAGCAGCAGAAAAATAAAATAAAAAGGGTTTAAAACAATCTAGTGATAGATATCGCAAGATGGTTGGGATGAATTAGTTACTGCAGTTGAACACTAAATTTGCCTCTGAGGTTTTTAAGAGTTGAGACAAATAGAGATGTGAGTATATAGTTCTCCACTGAGGAGGGAAAACAAACTGCAGAGAAATAAACTTTTTCTTGGCACTGAATTTAGCATGTGCTTTTTCATTCCAGAGGCACTGGATGACATCATGGACAGTGCTTCCAACTGTGCTTGCACAAAAGCCCCTACATGATTGTTTAAATGGTTGTTTCTTATATCCACTCTATAAATGCTGAGGGCATAAATCTTAAATGTGTGAAGGAGTTTCTGTAAGAAGCTGAATTACTGTGGGGGACAAGCCTTGCTTTGTGTCGAAGCCATGTGGAGTAAGCAGCGAAAACTTTAGGAGAGTCTAGTGGAATGAGTAGTTAATCTGCACATTAAGCCATCTCTCCTTGCTATCAGATGTCTTAAATGAGCCTTTGGCAAGAGTTGGATACTAATCAGTTCATGGTTGAGCTCTCTGCCCAAAGTATCAGACTTCTGCGGTGTTAATTGGAGAAGGTTCCACGGGTTACAGATGCAGGAACTGGAGGAAGCAGAGCCCAGCTTGGCTCCTCAGGCTACAGAGGCTGATTTGCATTCTTTCTTGCTAGAGGGCCTCCCCCTAACCCCGCAAGTGTGCCAATGAGGAAGGTAATTATTTTTCTTTAAAAGGAGTTGTTAATCTGCTAAGGACTTGATAGAAACTTCAGGATTCTGGATGCCATGTATTGGAGACCAAATGTAAATCTGTGCGTTTTTCTAGGGAAATTATGATTGGCTGTCTGTCTGGGGTAATTCCTGAAGACAAAAGAGTGTGTAGCCAGATGCTGGAGGCAGGGAGACCCATGTGGAGTCCAGGTCCCCTGCTCTGCCTCCTTCTGGATATGTTGTCTCGGGCGTGTCACATAATGTGCTGAGGCTTTGATGTGCTTGGTTTAGTGGGATGACACCTGTGAAGTACCTGGCACTTTTTCTTGGTGTAAATGATAATGTATTACTGTTGAGGCGCTTCTGCACCAAGTTCTTAACCAATCAGGAATGGACAGGGTGAGGAGCCAGGGATACCTGTGTGCTGGAAGCACCTGCACTCAAAGAGGCAACCCTTCTACCCCTGCCCCAGATCTGGTCATTCACAGCCTTCTTTGGGCAGAGCAAATATGCCAAGAAACTGTGTATTACACAGGGTATGGGGCATAGGGAGCCTTCATGTGGTGTGTCTGTTGCTCTGGAGTGACTAATGCTGAATACGTCCTCACCATGACTCTGCAAGCTGGGTAAAGTTCCTTTCCTCTCCTACCCCCAGAGCAATAGCTCCATAGTTACAGCTCTGTTTAAATGTTGGAGAATATTGAATTGTGCAACTGTGTGGTGACTCTTTGAGAATTAGTCAT